TACTGTGAGATAATATAAATGCACCTAATTGAGTGGGTGTTAATCTAGTATAATCCTTTGGAGGAACAAATTCTTTTTCTTCTTCATTCATCTCAACTATATATTGACTATCATTTACTTTTTCATAGCTTNTGATGTGTGAATCGAAGTTGGCTTTAAAAGTCGCTTCACTCCATAGATGTCTCGATGTATTTATATCCTTCGGAATAGATTTACCGTATAAGGAATTACCTAATAATTTCATGCAATTACTAGCAACCATATCTCCTTCTTTTTTGTATTTATTCCTTAATTCCTTCAAAATTAAAATATAATCTCTGTATGGTGGAGTTTTAAAATTTTCTTCGTATACTATACCATCTAATATTCTAATAATTTTACCACCGGATTTCACTATTTCTTGAATATCAACTGATGTTAAAACGTCGTGACAGAAACCATTTCTGAACCTGATTTTAGTGCCAGTTTCCTTCTGACCTATTCTATTCGTAAAAGTTATTTTATCTTTAGCTGGTATGGGTTGAAAGAACATTTTTTGGGGATATTCAAACCAAACTTTTAAAATAGCAGTTCCAGGTCTGAATTTTTGTTTATTGAAGAGTTTTACAAATTCTTTTTCGGATGTTTTATCAATTACTTTTTTCTAATCATTTTTTAATCTATGATACCTTTCTCGGGGAGTCTATTTAATATACAATTTACTTCATTATATTGTCTGTCTGAACGATGACCTTCTTTCATGGCTGCTAATATTATTTCTAATCTATTAAGCAATTCTTCATTATTATCGGATAAAAACGTTATACCTTGTCCACTTTTTTCTCTAGCTATCTCCTCTTTCAATTCGTCTATTTGTTGTGTGATTGAAGTATCATCTACTTCGTTTATTTCTTGTATGATTGAATAGTCTTCAGCATATTCATCATCTTGATTAATAGCTTTTATATATAGATCAACTTTTTTTAATCTTCTTGTTTCGGGACCCGTCTTTCGTATCATATATAGAAATTCTGAGTATTCTACTATCCTCGTAATCGGCAATATCAACATCCCCACCATTCATTAAATCTATTAATTCCTTCTGTTAATGTAAATATAAAGTCGTTTGTATCGATTTTGAATATTGGTGAATTTCCACTAAATCGTATTCTAAATCCATTAAACAATAACCCTTCATTATCAACAATTGGTGTAATACTCTTTGGTAAATCTGGGTTTGGATTTGAAAAATAATGTTTTATATAATCTAATGTCCTAATTATAAAACCACCATATTCAATCGGTTTTGGGGATCTTTATGGGATAAAGCTTCTATGGGAGGCGCGGGTCTCTTTTTGATATCTTCTTGACTTTTTAATATTGGTTGAAATAGAGTTTGTAGATTTTCAGTTAATCCAAGTTGTTGTAATCTGCTATTTTCAACTTGGGTCTTTATTTTATTCTTAGCTTTGATATACTGTCTGTTTCTTTTTATAAGATTATTCCAATCACCCATTTTAAAGAAATGAAATTAACAGTATATCTGTCATAACTCTTTCACCCGCAGGTTTTCTAGTATTAACGAATATATATCCATGATCATCTGG